CCCCGTCACCTGCCTTGCGGCCCTTCGCGCCGCCCTTCCTGGCCCCGACCCGCCGCCCTGCAGCCTCGTTGCCAACCCCGCTGCCATCGCGCCGCCCTTCCTGCCCCGATCCGCCGCCCTGCGGCGTCGGTCGCCTACCCCGCGGGCCCTCGCGCCGCCCTGCGGCCCTGACGCCGCCCTTTACTGGCCCCGGCGCCTACCTGCGGCCCCGACGCCTACCTGTGCGGCCCCGGCGCCTACCTGCTGGCCCCGCCACCTACCAGCGGCCCCGCCACCTACCAACGGCCCCGCCACCTACCTGCGGCCCCGCCACCTAACCGCTGCCCCGCCACCTACCTGTGCGGCCCCGGCACCTACCTGCTGGCCCCGCCACCTACCTGCGGCCCCGCCACCTACCAGGGGCCCCGCCACCTAACCGCGGCCCCGCCACCTACCTGTGCGGCCCCGGCGCCTACCTGCTGGCCCCGCCACCCACCGCGGCCCCGCCACCTACCTGTCCGGCCCCGGCGCCTACCTACGGCCCCGCCACCTACCTGCGGCCCCGCCACCTACCTACGGCCCCGCCACCTACCTGCGGCCCCGCCACCTACCTGCGGCCCCGCCACCTACCAGTGGCCCCGCCACCTATCTGCAGCCCCGCCACCTACCTCAGCGGACCCCGCCGCCTCCTCTCAGCGGCCCCACCGAGCCGCCCAGCAGCCAAGCCGCCCAACAGCCGAGCCGCCCAGCAGCCGAGCCGCCCCAGCAGCCGAGCCGCCCAGGAGCCGAGCCGCCCAGCAGCCGAGCCGCCTAGCCGCCGAGCCGCCCAGAAGCCGAGCCGCCCAGCAGCCGAGCCGCCCAGCCGCCGGGCCACCCAGCAGCCGAGCAACCGAGCCGCCGAGCCGCCCAGCAGTCGAGCCACCGAGCCACCCAGCAGCCGAGCCGCCGAGCCGCCCAGCTGCCGAGCCGCCGAGTCGCCCTGCAGCCGAACCGCTCGAGCTGCCCCTGTCCGGTAAGAGCAGCGCCTCTTTCTCAGCACTGCCCTCACCCTACTGTTTGCGTTGCTAGTCTACTGCTGTCATGGCTACCCCTAGTGTCCTCGCTTTTGACGCTGAGGGTCGGGCCATTGACTTTGACGTCTGGATAGATGACCTGCAGCTTTTCTTACAGTGCAATAGGGCAGACGGTCTCTCTCTCTTTGACCTCACCTCTTGTGCCTCTCCTGCCCCTGCTGCTGATGTTGACGCCACTGTTCGCTCACAGTGGGCCACGCGCGATGCTGCTGCACGTCTTGCTGTGCGTCGCCACCTGCCTACCTCTGAGCGTGCGCACTTTAGCCAGTACAAGAGTGCTCAGACCTTGTACGACGCTGTAGTTGCACGCTACTCCTCCCCTGCCACTGCTTCACTGAGCCGCCTCATGCTACCATACCTCTTTCCTGACTTTGTTGCCTTTCCCACAGTCGCTGACCTCATTACGCACCTCCGCACTAGTGACACTCGCTACCGCGCTGCGCTTCGTGCTGAGTTTCTGCGCCAAGAACCTCCCCCCCCCCCCCCCCCCCCCGTGTACATCACTCTCTACTACATAGTCACCCGCCTCCCTGACTCCCTTCGCATAGTCAGGGACCACTTCCTCTCAGTCTGTCCCACCACTCTCACTGTTGACCTCCTCGAGAAGGCCCTCTTAGCAGCGGAGAGAGCATAGTCGTTGTAGGAGCCTCTCGTGGTGACCCGCGCACCCCCATCTTTGAGGGGTGTTCCCCCTCCCCCCTTTTGCCCTCTGTTGCCTCTACTGCTGCGGCCGACCTCGTTGGGCTTGAGTCGGTCGGTGCGGCGTTTTACCCCTAGCGGGAGACGCCGCCCTGGCAAGGGCAAGGGGGGCAGGGGCGCTGGAGGAGCTAGCGGGGGCGGTGGAGACGGCGGTGGAGGCGGCGGAGGGGGTGGGGGTGGCAGTGGGGGTGGTGGCGGGGGTGGCGGTGTCGGTGGCGGCAGTGGAGGCGGAGGCGGCGGCGGTGGCGGTGGGGGCGGAGGTGGCGGGGGTGGCGGCGAGGGAGGAGGCGGTGGCGGAGGAGGTGGAGCTGGTCGCGGGTGGCGCTGCGGAGAGGGTCGGCTCAGGTGGTGGTCAGCGCCAGCAGCAGCAGCAGCGCACTCGTGACATCCCCCCCCCTCAGCAGCTCTGTGAGTGGTACGCTACACATCAGCGGGGTGGGGGGTACTGGTCCGTGCACCTACGTCCTACGCACCGGCGACCGCACGGGTGAGCAGTGTGGGGGTGCACACCCCACCCAGCGCTGCTTTGGCCGCCTGACGGACGCTTGGCGTCACCAGTTTCCGGAGGCCACGGAGATCACCCGCTGGGGTGAGCTGTCTAGGGCGGGGAGTAGCTATATTTGATCTTGACTTTGATGCTATTCTTGCTGCCATGTATGCTGTGACTATTAGTGATGAGGGTGACTGTTACCGGTGTTTCCCGCCCAACCCGGGCATTGAGACTGCTGCTCTAGGTACTGGTGAGGCTGCTGCTCTAGATGCTAGCGAGGCTGCTGCTCTAGGTGCTAGTGCGTCTGCTTCCTCAGGTGCTGGTGAGCTCTGCGCTCTCAGGTACCGAGTCGGCTTCGGCCTCCCTCACCTTCACCCTTGACTCGGGGCGTCTCGCTCCTTCTTTTGAGACCGCACCGCACTCACGCCGCTTGGTCGGCCAGTTGCAGTCTCTCTGGCAGGCCCCTCTGGGGGTCCCTGTCCTTGCTCACTTCTCCACCGTCCTCCCGTGTCCGGCGGCTCCCTCTGGCACCCTGTCTGGTCTTTACCTCCCCTCGTTCTCTACAAACTTGGTGAGTGGCGCTGACCTTCAGGATGGGGGAGTTCACCAGTTCACTCCTGCGAGCCAGCGGGTGACCCACTGCACGGACGCTCGGACGGGCCGACACTTGGCCACGTTTACTCGTCGGCCAGGGTCGAGCCTGTACACACTGTCCACTACGTCTAGTCAGGTAGCTGCGTCATGTCAGGTGTTTGCTGCAGCGTCCAGGTCTGGTCCTGAGTTTGCCCCCTGCTTGTGTCGCCTCCTGTCTCACGAGACTCTCCTTTGGCACCCCTCCTTGCTTTGTCTCCGAGGCATGGCTCCCGTCCTCCTTGTCTCTGGTCTTCCCCAGTCCCTCCCTCCCCTTCCTCTGGGGCCTGGCCCTACCTGCGTCCCCTGTGTCGAGGGGCGGCAGCGGGCTGCCCCTCACACCTCCCAGTTTCCTCCGACAGAGGCCCCACTGCAGACGCTTCACATGGACGTGTGGGGCCCGGCCCGCGTCCGTGGTGAGGGTCACGAGCGCTACTTCCTGTTGGTGGTTGACGGACTACTCGCGTTACACCACAGTCTTCCCCTTGCGCAGCAAGGGTGATGTTACTGAGGTGTTGATCGACTGGATCCGCGCAGCTCGTCTCCAGCTCAGTCAGAGCTTCGGCTCGGACTTTCCTGTTCTGCGTCTGCACTCTGACAGAGGCGCAGAGTTCTCCTCTGGCCTTCTGCGAGCCTACTGTCGTGCACGAGGCATCCGCCAGACCTTCACGCTTCCGAACTCTCCACAGCAAAATGGGATTGCTGAGCGCCGCATTGGCATGATCATGGACGTCGCCCGTACGTCCATGATGCATGCGGCTGCCCCCCATTTTCTGTGGCCGTTTGCGGTTCGGTACGCGGCGCATTTGCTCAACCTTCACCCCAGGGTCTCCAGGCCGGAGACCTCCCCAGCCTTGCTGTGGACAGGGAAGGTTGGCGATGCGTCTGCGTTCCGGGTCTGGGGATCTCGGGCGTTTGTCCGCGACATGTCTGCGGACAAGCTGTCCCCTAGTGCTGCGCCATGCGTCTTCCTGGGTTTCCCCCCTGACGCGCCAGGGTGGCAGTTCTACCACCCCACCTCTCGCCGTGTTCTGTCCTCCCAGGACGTCACGTTTGACGAGTCGGTCCCCTACTACCGCCTCTTCCTCTACCACACTCCGTCCCTCCCCCCGCCGCCGCTCTTCCTTGTACCAGGTCCCCCTCTTGTAGACCCCCTCCCCCCTCAGGGTCCGTCCCCTTCAGGTGTGTCCCAGGTAGACGCAGTCGAGCCTGTCGAGGTCACTGGTGACTCTGGTGCTGCTGAGGGTGCTGAGCCTGGGGGTGCTGAGACTGGGGGTGCTGAGACTAGGGGTGCTGAGACTGGGGGTGCTGGGCCTGGGGGTGCTGAGCCTGGGGGTGCTTCGCCTGGGGGTGCTGAGCCTGGGGGTACTACGTTTGGGGGTGCTGAGCCTGGGGGTGCTACGACTGGAGGTGCTGAGCCTGAGGGAGCTGGGCCTACTTGTGAGGCGTCCGGCGGTGCTGGGCCTGGAGGTTCTGTGGGTGCTTCGTCTCGGCGGGAGCCACTCTCTCCGCAGGATCTGCGCGAATGGTTTGCCCGGCGCTGGAGGTGTACTCCTGGAGCTGGAGGTTCTTAGGCTGCTGAGGATGTTGGTGCCGCCGGTCCCGGAGGTGCTCGTACGGGAGGTACTGGAACTGCTGGGCCGGCGGGTGCGTCTGGAGCTGGAGTTGCTGAGGGTGCTGGCGCTAAGGCTACTGCTGTTGGTCCTAACGGCAGTGCTGCTGGAGTTACAGGAGCTGGAGGTGCTGCTGGCGCTTGTGCTGCCGTTGGGGGTGCTAGTGCTGTCCCTGCTGTGTCTGGAGTCGCCGCGCAGCCTCGGCCGTACTTCGTTCCGCTCCTGCAGCAGGTTCTTGGTCTCCCACCTTCTACTGGTCTTCCTCCTCCCTTAGAGTGTCCACAGCCTGTCCCGTCACAGTTACAGTTACAGCCCGCCTCCCCACTACCTGCTCCTTCTCCCTACACTAGTCCTAGTGGAGGTCTTGCTGAGCGTCGTGAGCCTGCGTCTCGCCCTGCGTCGCCTGTTTGTCCTACTCGCGCTAGTGGTCGTAGTTCGCGTGAGCGTCCTCCTCCTGTCCCCGGCACGCACCGGATGTCTCTGCATCCATCCACTGCTCCTCTGTGTTCCCCGTTGCCTTTTCCTCCTGAGTCCTCTCTTCCTACTCTTGCCGACCCTGAGTCGGACTCTCTTCGTGCTGCCAGTCCTACTGTCACGCGTCTCTTTGCTACTGTCGTCACTGACCCTTCTTTTGAGTCCACTACTGCGTATGCCCTAGTTGCTGAGCTCGTCGACTTTGCTGCTCGCTGTCGTCTAGACTACGCTGAGTCTGAGTCTGTTTGTCCTCCATCCGTCGGGGGTGAGTGTGCCCTTGGCACGGACGTCCTTGAGGAGAGGCAAGAGGAGTTCCAGTGTCTGGCTGCTGCTTCACCTCATCTCGTGTCCGTACTGCTTACCCCTGAGGGAGACCCGGATGCACTTGACATCCCGACTCCGCGCTCTTACGCGGAGGCGATAGAGGGTCCCGACTCCTCTTAGTGGCAGGCAGCTATGGACGCAGAGATGGCTTCCTGGAAGTCCACAGGCACCTACGTTGACGAGGTTCCCCCACCTGGGGCGAACATCGTGAGAGGCATGTGGATTTTCATGGTGAAGCGGCCGCCGGGTTCCCCGCCTGTCTTCAAGGCGCGGTACGTGGCTCGTGGCTTCAGTCACCGGCAGGGAGTTGACTACTTTCAGACCTTCTCTCCCACCCCGAAGATGACCACTCTTCGGGTGCTGCTGCACATAGCCGCTCAGCGCGACTACGAGCTTCACTCTCTTGACTTCAGCACTGCTTTCTTGCAGGGTAGCCTGCACGAGGAGATCTGGATGCGCCGCCCACCTGGCTTCACCGGGACTTTTCCTCCTGGCACCCAGTGAAGCCTCCGGCGGCCAGTCTACAATCTTCCCCAGGCACCGCGCGAGTGGCACGACACACTGAGGACTACGCTTGCGGCTCTTGGGTTTGCTCCCTCTACTGCAGACGCGTAGCTGTTTCTGCGCACCGACACTTCTTTGCCGCCGTTCTACATCCCCGTGTACGTCGACAACTTGGTCTTTGCCACAGCTGACACTGCTGGACTCGCCCACGTGAAGTCCGAGCTGTAGAAGAGACACACGTGCACACACCTGGGTGAACTGCGCAGCTACCTTGGCTTGCAGATCACCCGGGACAGAGCACGCCGCACCATTCCTCTGACTCAGTCACACATGGTGCAGCAGGTCCTTCAGCGCTTCGGCTTCATGTACTCCTCGCCTCAGGCCACTCCTCTGCCTACTCGCCACTCGCTCTCAGCTCTGCTTTCGGATGAGTCCGTAGAGTCGAGTGGCCCGTATCCAGAGCTTGTTGGCTGCCTCATGTACCTGATGACGTGGACTCGACCTGACCTTGCATACCCTCTTAGCATTCTTGCACGCAATGTTGCTCATGGGAGACACAAACCGGAGCACATGGCTGCAGCAAAGAGGGTGTTGCGCTACTTGTGCAGTACGTCGGGCATGGGGCTTGTGCTTGGATGGCGGAGTCCAGTGGTCCTCACTGGGCACGCAGACGCTTCTTGTGCGGACGACCAGGCTACGCAGCGGTCGTCACAGGGTTACACCTTCAGCCTTGGTTCCGGCTCTGTTTCGTGGCGGGCTACTCGCTCGTCTTCTGCTCTCGGCTCCAGTTGTGAGGCTGAGATCTACGCTGGGGCCATGGCTGCACAGGAGCTTCGCTGGCTCACCTACCTGCTGTCTGACTTTGGAGAGGTGCCTCGTTCTCCTCCAGTGCTGAACGTAGACAACAAGGCCATGCTGGCCTTGTGTCGAGAGCAGAGAATGGAGCACAGAAAGAAGCACATTGCTCTTCGCTACTTCCTTGCTCGTGAGGTGCAGCAGCGTGGTCAGCTGCGTCTTGCTTACGTGGCCTCTGAGGCCAACACTGCTGATATCTTCACCAAGGCACTTGCGCCTTGTGATCATCAGTGCTTCTTTACTTAGCTTGGTCTTGTGCCTGTCTTACCTCACTTTCTCACCTCTTGACCTTGCTTGTACTGTTTCATATATATACACCTGCTCTTGCTTGTTTAGCTTTCTATATATATATGTACTCCTGCATGTGAACTGGCCTTGTGGCCTTGAACTTGTGCTTGGAATGTGTGGTGACTTTGTGATCCACCCTGAGCTTGCTTTGCTTTGCTTTGCTGGACTGGTCTTGTGACCGCTTGTTCTCCCCCACTTTGCCTATGGGGGTGTGTCAGAACATTATAGCTTATGCTTTTGTGTAGGCTGTAGTGGGGTAGCCCATATGGGGTACAACCCAATTAGGGTCAGTACTTGTACCCAACTGTTTCATAGTTCATTCATTCTCGTTTCAATTCTCTCACCGGGGCTAGTAGTAGTACTTTGCTATCCCCGCAAGGGTTTTGTTACTCCTAAAATGTCCCGCGTATGCCACATCGTAGAACTTCTCCGTTAGGATCTCTCGGAGCGGGGCATTATTTTGGTACCCAATTGTCTCTTGAACCTTTCTTACTGCTAAGTCCTTCTCCCACTGTAACTTCTACTTCTCCGCTACAGTGCTTTCCGCGTCCACGCAGTACCCATGTTAGAATAGTTCCTTGAGAAGAGGGTTCAACCCGTCGAGCTGGATGCCTGCTACGTGCCCAGGGTGGCTCAGTGTGTCGGCCTTGTTGTGTAACCCTGGCTTGTAGACGATGTCGTAGTGGAAGCGGGTTTCGAGAAAGTCCATCCACCGCACATGTCATCGTAAGAACGTTGGCTGCGACTTGAGGTATTTGGGACTATAGTGGTCAGTGTAGACTTTGATCTTGGCTCTTTCCAAGTAACACCTCTACGCCTTGAAGGTTGTGACTACCACAAAGGCTTCCTTATTATGCATGGGATAGTTCAGTTCAGCTCCGTGCTGCGTCTTACTAAGGTAAGCGATTGGTTACAAACCGTGTCTGCGATCCTGAATCAGTACTGCTCCGACGTCCTGGTCATTAGCGTCTTCTTCCACCACGTAGTGTTTCTTTGGATCCGCTAGGATGAGTACTAGGGCAGTGGTCAGAGTTATTTGTAGATGCTCCATGGCCAGGTGTTGATTGGTATCCTATTTATATGGTGTATCTTTTTTAGTAAGTTGCTGGCGGCGAGGTCGCTGCGGTCCCTCTCTAGCGCGCAATTTGACGGGGGGGAGTGGGGCACTAAGGGGTGACGGGGCACTAACGGTAATAGCGTACTAACAGGCGAGTGCGGGGTGGTGGGCCCATAGGATTCGAAACGCTCTATACCATGTCAACGTGGTAACTGAATGAGTTGGGTAGAAACAAGCAGTACAAGGGAGCATATAGCAAACCCTAACGGGGTCATACCCTCTACAGCATAACTCAATACAACACCTATACTAAACTAACAAACTAGAACAATCAAGTTTGACACACCCCCATAGTCTAGGTGACGGTAGTCTTGTGGAAAGCAACACACTGTCTAAGAGCAAGGGTCACAGGACTAGTTATTAAGAACAAGCAATGGCCACAAGACCAGTTCACAAGAACAAAGAAACCCTCGGGGTGGATATCAAGATCATCACACAGTCCGAGAACAAGCATAGATGTATGATATATAGTGAGATGCAAGACACAAGACAAAGTATCTCTACGTAAGCAAGTGAGGGCATGTAGACACAAGGCATAGCTGGGTGTAGAAACGCCGGTGGTCACAAGGCGGCAATGCCTTGGTGAAGATTTATGCAGCGTTGGCCTTAGAGACCACACGTTGCACGAGTGCTTGGCCACACTGCAAAACGAAGTAACGAAGCTAGATGTGCTTCGCCTTCCCAACCAGTCGGGGCTCCTCGCACAACAGGTTAGCAAACCTATTGTCGGCAAATAGGACTGGGGGAGAGCGAGGCCGCTCACCAAGGTCAGTGAGGAGGAAAGACAGCCAGCGAAGCTCCTGTGCGGCCATGGCTACATGATACACCTCTGCCTGACAGCTGGAACTGGAGACGAAAGGCGCCCGAGTCGACCTCCACGAGACAGTTCTGGTCCCAAGGCTGAAGCAGTAACCTTGTGTAGACCGCAACGACTCTGCGTGGTCGGCCCACGACGAGTCTGAGAAATATGTGAGTGTAGCTGGCTGCTTCCCTCCAAGGATAAGTCCCATGCCTGATGCACTCATCATATACTTCGCCACCCTCTTAGCAGCGTACTAGTGGGAAGGTCTGTGTCTCCCAGGAGCAACAAAGTGCGCCAGGACATCAAGATGGTAAGCTAGGTCTGGACAAGGAGTGTAACTCCTAGTCGCGCTGAGCTACGATGTGCAGCAACACTCGAAGAGTGGTCACCTTCAGGGTGGGAGCGAAGGTCTGGAAGAAGTCTATTCCCTCTCGCTGACTGAAGCCTCTCGCCATATAGCACGCCTTGAAAACATGTGGTGATCCAGGCAGCTGCTTCACCTTGTAGAGCCACATGCCACTGGCAACGTTCGTCCCAGGTGGTGGTATGGCGTCGACATAGGTGCCTGTGGACCTATAAGATGCCATCTCTGCCTCCTTAGCTGCTATCCAGTACGAAGCCCTGGGTCCCGAGACCGCCTCGGCATGAGTGCGAGGGATTGGGATGCCAAGGGAGTCTGGACCCCTCTCAGGGGCAAGCAGCATGGCGCAGAGATGGGGAACAGAGGACGCCAGAAAAACAAGTTCGAACTAACTATCCTCTAGGACCTCTAGGGGAAAGACAGGAGCACCCCCAGAACACAGAGAATGCGCTGTGCCACTCAACGCGTGGGTAGCATGGTCAAGGCGGTGAGAAGAGGCAAAGGCACTGACAACAGTGACAAGGGCCAACTTGACAGAACACGGGAGACGACAAGGCAAGAGGCAAGGAGGTAGTCGGACAACGAATTGTGAAACACAGTGAGGGACGACTCCCGAGGTTATGGAAGGACTAGAGGAGGTGGAACATGAGAGCTGAGAACAAGGTGAAACGGGCCGTCGGCACGATAATGAGATCGACAAGCCTCTGGGGACGCAGCTCAACTAAGAGGAGAACGACAAGAAAATGAAGACAAGGAAAGGGACAGGTCAGGAGGAACGGGGGGGGGGGGGGGGGACGAGAGGGGACCACGAAAAATCGTGCAGGTGCTGAGTTGGAAAGGTTCCTTAATTGCTGCTGCTCTGCCTCCTCTCGCGGCTGCTGTTGCGGTACCTGCCCCTTCTACTGCTCCTGTGGCACCGGGTGTGCCTCCTCCTCTGGCCTCTCCTACTGCGACTGCAGCTGCCACTGCTGCTGCTGCTGCCGGGACTCCTGCTCGACCCTCTCCTGCTGCGGCTGTAACTGCATCTGCTGCTGTGGTCGTGACTCCTTCTCTACTCTCTCCTGTTGTGACTGCAAATGTACATGCTGTTGTTGCTGTGACTATGCTGCTGGGGGCAGTCCATGTTACCGCTGGTTCTGCTGGGGACAGCCTATGTTGCCGCCGGTGCTGCTGGGGGGTAGTCTATGTGTTGAACAAGAATGAATGAACTAGCAGTGAAATGAGTACAAGTAGGAAACCCTAGAAATGTGTACCCCCTATAGGCTAACCCACTGTAGCCTAAACAACTACAACATATATATAATGTTTGACACACCCCCATAGGCGAAGTGGGGGAGAACTAGGGGTCACAAGACCAGTCAAGTAAAGCAAAGCAAAGCAAGCTCAGGGTGGATCACAAAGTCACCACACATTCCGAGCACAAGTTCAAGGCCACAAGGCCAGTTCACATGCAGGAGTGCATATATATATATAAGGCTAGACAAGCAAGAGAAGCAATATATATATATGTAACAGTACAAAGAGGGTCAAGAGGAGAGTAAGTGAGGCAAGACAGGCACAAGACCCAGCTGGGTACAGAAGCGCTGATGATCACAAGGCGGAAGTGCCTTGGTGAAGACATCAGCAGTGTTGGCCTCAGAGGCCACGTAAGCAAGTCGCAACTGACCACGCTGCTGTAGCTCACGAGCAAGGAAGTAGCGGAGAGCAATGTGCTTTGTTGTGTGCTCCAGTCTCTGCTCTCGACACAAGGCCAGCATGGCCTTGTTGTCTACGTACAGGACTGGAGGAGAACGAGGCGGCTCTCCAAGGTCGGTCAGCAGGTAGGTGAGCCAGCGTACCTCCTGAGCAGCCATGGCCCCTGCGTAGATCTCAGCCTCACAACTGGAGCCGAGAACAGAAGACGAGCGAGTAGCCCGCCACGAAACAGAGCCGGAACCAAGGCTGAAGGTGTAACCCTGTGACGACCGCTGCGTAGCCTGGTCGTCAGCCCAAGAAGCGTCCGCGTGACCAGTGAGGACCACTGGACTCCGCCCTCGAAGCAGTAGCCCCATGCCCGACGTACTGCACAAGTAGCGCAACACCCTCTTCGCTGCAGCCATGTGCTCTGGTCGGTGTCTCCCAGGAGCAACATAGCGTGCGAGAATGCTAAGAGGGTATGCAAGGTCAGGACGTGTGCAGGTCATCAGGTACATGAGGCAGCCAACAAGCTCTGGGTACGGGCCACTCGACTCTACAGACTCATCCGAAGGCAGAGCTGAGAGCGAGTGGGGAGTAGACAGAGGAGTGGCCTGAGGCGAGGAGTACGTGAAGCCGAAGCGCTGAAGGACCTGCTGCACCATGTGTGACTGAGTCAGGGTGATGGTGCGGCGTGCTCTGTCCCGGGTGATCTGCAAGCCAAGGTAGCTGCGCAGTTCACCCAGGTCAGTGCACGTGTGTCTCTTCAGCAGCTCGGACTTCACGTAGGCGAGTCCAGCAGTGTCAGCTATGGCAAAGACCAAGTCGTCGACGTACATGAGGATGTAGAACGGCGGCAGAGACGTGTCGGTGCGTAGAAACAGCGACGGGTCAGCAGTGGAGGGAGCAAACCCAAGAGCCGCAAGTGTAGTCCTCAGTGTGTCGTGCCACTCACGCGGTGCCTGGCGGAGACCGTAGACTGGTCGCCGAAGGCTCCACTGGGT